GGTTCCGAAGCCCGGTATAGGTTCATTATGATATTTAAGACGTGTTTGTGAAATTTGGTGAGAAACAGAGTTGATTTAACGTGATTCGGACGTCCAGTTGAGAAAATAAATTTTTTAAAGTATTCTTAAGAATTTCATTTGATTTGGTGCTAAATTCGTAGTTCTAGGTGTTATTTTGGCGATTTGATCATTCGAGCAAGTTTGTATGATGTTTTTAGACTTGTGTGCATGTTTGGTTTGGAGCCCCGAGGGCTCGGGTGAGTTTCGGATAGGCCACGGGATGTTTTGGACTTGGAAATAATTTGGTTTTCTGCAGATTCTGGTGTCTGGCATATTCTTCTTCGCGTTCGCGAAGGTACTCTCGCGAACGCGAAGAGTAAACTGGGCAGCTAAAGTTTTCTTCTTCACGAACGCGAAGGCTTGGTTGCGAACGCGAAGTGATGGGGGCGTTACCCTTCGCGAACGCGCCAAGCACATCGCGAACGCGTAGTGTTAGGCACTAGGGAGGGGGGAGTCAGCCTTTTCTTCATCGCGAACGCGAGCACTGTCTCGCGAACGCGAGGACCAGGGAAGGGTAAACTACACGAACACGAGCACTGCCTCGTGAACGCGAAGGATTGGCAGCCTATACTCTTCGCGAACGCGACAGTTCTCTTGCGAACGCAATAAACACTGTCCCCCAACCCTTAACAGAACCCAAAAACGGGATTTTAGCCAAAATTCATTTTTCTCAAAAACAAAACGGTGAGAGGCAATTTTTCAAGAGCCATTTTTTCCCCAAATTATTGGTAAGTGATTATAATCCATTTTCTTTCAATTACCCAATACATTTCTTGAATTTTCAACCCAAAATCTAAAGTTTGCATGGTAGAATTAGGGGTTAGGTTGGAAACTAGGAATTTTGGGAATTTGGGAATTTAGGCCTCAATTTGAGGTTGGATTCCAACACTAATTACATATTCGGGCTCGGGGGTGAATGGGTAAAAGGATTTTGGTCCTAACCTCGGGTTTTGACCAAGCGGGTCCGGGGTCGATTTTTCGACTTTTTGGAGGAAAATTTGAAAAATTTAATTTATGCAATATAATTGATTCCTTTAGTAATATTTGATATTATTGAGTCATTTTTGAATAGATACGAGTGATTTGGAGGTGAATTCCAAAAGAAAAGCTGTGATTGAGAATTAAATGGCCTTCGGAGCGAGGTAAGTGTTGTGTCTTGACTTGAGGGAATTAGGAACCTTAGATTACTTGCTAAGTGAAATCTATGTGAGTGGCGTATATGTGAGGTGACGAGTACTTGTGCGTCGCCAATTTACCTGTTTTCCATGTTTCTCTGTTTTTTTTATATTGTCTTTTCCTATGTCAAATTGCTACGTGTTATGCTAGTGTTATTCAATTTATCGTTCTTATCATATTTACGGATTTTCTAGTGATAATTGAGTTTTTATTCAAAGTTGAGATTGATATTATGGAACTAACTATTGAAGTAAGGTTTGTACTTGTTATTCTATCTCCCTGTTGTTATTTATGCATTGCATTATGGTAAGGGAGAGTGTTAATGCACGAAGGGTAATGCCGTGCCATATTGTGAGTGTTAATACACGAATGGTGATGCCGTGCCATGATATGAGAGTAAAAGCACGAAGGGTGATGCCATGCCGTTTCTATTAATTTTATGGTGAGATTGAGAGTAAAAGCACGAAGGGTATATTGATGGTATATTGACTGCTCTAGTGATTATTCTGTTGTAGTTCTTCATCTTGTATTCCCCTCAGTATGTTCCCTCCCGATATTTCCTGTTTAGTTCTTCATTTCTGTTATTTGTATATACACTGTTAAATTGTACACGTTGATTTGTAGGTGCCTTGCCTTAGCCTCGTCACTACTTCGTCGAGGTTAGGCTCGACACTTACCAGTACATGGGGTAGATTGTACTGATACTGTACTCTGCACTTTTTGTGCAGATTTTGATACCGGCTCAGGTTGATCGAGATTTTGCTATTGGTCCGCTGTCCGAAGACTCAAGGTAGATCTGTCGGCGTTCACAGACCTTGAAGTCTCTGTCTATCTTTTATGTTCTACTGTTTCTTTTATTTAGATAGTTATATTTCTTTCAGACTATTACTTGTAGTAAATTCTAGAATGCTCGTGAATTATGACTCCAGATCTGGGTGGTAGTAATTAATACAGTTTTATAATATTTCGTACTTATTATATTTCATCTTAGTTAATTATTGTTAATTACTGAATGGAAATAAGAAATTAGTTTAACGATTTTCTAACGTTGGCTTGCCTAGCAAGTGAAATGTTAGGCGCCATCATGGTCCCGTCGGTGGGAAATTTCGGGTCGTGACATACCAGCACCAGCAATCAAAGATTATGAAAAATTATTCTGAAACCAATCTAAAACTCACCCGAGCCCTCGGGGCTCCAAACCAATCATACACCCAGGTCCAGAAACGCAACACGAACTCGTTCGCGCTCTCAAATCGTCAAAATAACCTCTAAAACCACGAATCGGACGCCAAAACGCATGAAGATCAAACTAAACTTCAAGAAGTTTTAGAATCGCAACCGAGCGTCCGAACCATATCAAATTAACTCCAAACGACGCCAAATTTTGCAGACAAGTTTCATATGACGAAACTAACCTACTCGAAGCTTCATATCATGCATAACAACCTTGAAATGATGAATCACGCCTCAAATCAAAATCAATGAACTTTGAAACTTCAACTTCTATAACCGATGCCGAAACCTATCAAATCACCTCCAATTGACCTCAAATTTTGCACACAAATCACATTTGCCATTACGGACCTATTTCAACTTTCAGAATCAAAATCCGACCCCGATATCAAAAAGTCCACTCCCGGTCAAACTTCCTAAAAATCTAATTTTCGCTAATTCAAGACTAATTCAATTACAGACCTCCAAATTAAAATCCGGACGAGCTCTTATGTCTAAAATTACCCAACAGAGCTAACGGAACCCACGAAACTCCATTCTGAGGTCAAATGCTAAAAAGTCAAACTTGGTCAATTCTTCCAACTTAGAGCTCAAATCTTGAAGTGCATTCTTCCAAATCGATTCCGAATAACTTGAAAAACCAATACCGACGATTTACACAAGTCATAATATATCGTGCGGAGATACCCGAGCCCTCAAAATACCGAGCGAAGTGCAAATAATCAAAACGACCAGTCGGGTCGTTACAACTTTCATTATAGTAATTGACGATGTTTATGATATTTATGGCTCTTTGTATGACCTTGAAATCATGTATGAAAACCTGCTTTTGGAAACAATATTATACCACAAATGACGTAGCACTTGCAATTCAGCAACAAAAAGGTTGGAAAATACTAGTGTCAACATATCTACAAAAAGTGGTACTTACTTTTCTGAAATTAAATAGTAATTCAATTATTGTCTATGGTTTTATTTAGTCACTACTAGGGGCGTACAAACTGAATCGAAAACCACATCAAATCGAAAAGTCGAACTAAATTGATTAAAAAATTCGACTATATTTGATTTGATTTGGTTTGGTATTCAGTAAAAAATTCCGACTTTATGATAGTGTGGTTTAGAAGATGGTGATAATAACTAAATTTAGGAAGATTATGGCACGAGGATCAAAATAAAATCTCTATTCTTCTTTATGTTCAGTTAATGATATTAAGGATATTATAACTAATACATAAGACCTTGAATTGGATATGATTTTTGATAAATTGTCATTATTTTTTATTCAGCGACAAAGTTTTGCCGCTTAGTTACATATTTTATCTGTCGCGATTTTTCTTTTAATTGACATGTTTAGAATACACAGTACCTATACAATCATTTTCATATAAAGTTAAAATAAAAGAAGTGGATACGTGATTGATCATTAAACTTTTAAAATTATATGAGTTGTTTCCATGCTTAGTTAGGTCATCCGTTATTTTTTTTTAAAACTAAATAGGATCAATATTTGTTATTTTCAAGAGCTTATATTTTTTAAATTTTATTTTGTAATTCAAATATATTATTTAATATTATTTATTAAAATTTTAAAAGGATATACTCATACATATAAAGTACACGCGCATCGCGCGTATTCTAAAACTAGTAACTTTAATAATGCAAGATTGAAATAATATTTATATACAAAAAAACATGAAAAGCCCAAAAAATCCGACACAAACCGAAATAATCCAAACCGAGATTTAGTTTGATTTTGATAAAATGCGAATCAATCTGGTCCATGTACACCCTGGTCACTACATCAATGGCCTAAAGAATCTTTAAGTCTAGAAGGTGGACTGGACGTCACTTTTAAGTCTCACATTCCACACAATAGTTTTCTCATCTTGCGTCGTTTACAACGTTTTTTGTATTTTAAGTTGTGTTTTCGAATTAAGGACTCCAATTCCATTTTTGTTTCGTTCTTTTCTCTCTCTCTTTTACTTATACATCACGACATTAACAAAAGATTTTCTTGCTCAATATCAACAACAAACTCAATATTTTTCATATGTGGTGTCTAAGTTTATGACTTTCTACCGTAATCTCAAATTAATATACTAATAACTCGGTTCACAGTTAGATATTTATAAATATTAGGTGGATTTCTTAATAGAAATACAACATCTACGCAGAAGTTACTCGGTTTCCGGGAACCCGATAACAATACTCTAGATCCGCCACTGGTGTCTATGAAGAGTAGTGTGTACGCAAACCTAAGTACTCCTATGTAGTAAAGGTAGATAGGTTATTTCCAATAGATACTCGACTCAGAAAAGATGATGACTAAGAAGAATTAAGTAGAAAAAATACTCACGAAGAAGAATTAGATCTGAGAACATGATGAACAAATGGCAATAGAAAGACGTGACGTATTCAATCCAACTGTTACACGAAATGAATCAGTCATTTTACCTCTATAAGCTCTTAGAAGTTATGAAATATCTCCACAATTATTCTTGTATCTTCTCCACCTCTATTATTCCAATATGATACTTTCTGTGTCCCTTTTTTCCACTATGCAGACTAATAAACGTCAAAGTACTACTAAAAAGCAAAGTCTTCCTGAAAGGAAGATTTCTACCTATAAACCAAACATTTGGAAATATGATCATCTACTTACTCTTACAAGTGAATATTCTGTGAGTATTTAATTACTTTTATCTCTTAAGTAATGTTCATGTTCGAAATTTTTTGTAATTAATAATCGCTCCTGCAGGAAGGGAAGTATAAAGTTGAGGCTGAGAAGCTAAAAGAGAAAGTCAGTTGCACGTTTTCAAACACTATTTGTCCACTGGACCTGCTAGAGCTTATAGACAGCATTGACAAACTTGGACTCAGTTGTTACTTTGAGGTTGAAACCAAGGCAGCTTTGAAAAAGATAATAATGTCCGTGAAAACTAGTTCCAGCTCGAAGGAGGAGAATCTGTATGCTACTGCATTGTGCTTCAGGCTTCTCAGGGAACATGGCCACCATGCTTCGCAAGGTTACCAATAAGTTAATTAATAATGCTTCACAACTAGGATTTAGACTAAGTGGACAGGGGTGGCTCAATAAAATTAGAAGTCTAAACCCAATACTAATAAAAAGCCTTAAATTTATTTAGTAAAAATCACATATTGTATTAATTAGGTAAAGGATTTAATTTCTAATTAAGAAATAAATTAAACAGGCCAGATAAAAAAAATATCTGATTTAGGAAAACATAGTTGAAATTGGAAAGTAAAATTGTTGGAAAGGGAAAAATGAATCCATAATCTAAAGGAGGTAAATATGCTAATTAATGAGAGATAAATTAAAACAATAATTTAGTTATTCGATCATCTGAATAACCTCGACCAAATCGTAGAAAGTGATGTAAATTTAATCTTTAATACTGTAAATAAAAGATACAATATCAATTATAATACTCCCTCGGTTTTAATGTGAACACATTTGACTGGCCACGAAATTTAAGAAAAGAGAGAAAACTTTTGAACTTGTAGTGTAAAATGATACACATATATTTTGTGTGGCTATAAATCATTGTATAAAGATAAATTATTTTCAAATAAGGAAAAATGTCATTCTTTTTGGCACGGACTAAAAAGGAAATAAGTTCACATAAATTGAAACGAAGGTATACAAATAATTGTAAGTTTGACTTAATTTTTGAGGCCTAAAAAGCAATATAATGTCTTTCTTATTTAATTTCATGTTGTTTTTATTGTTGTACTACAGATATGTTAAAGGACTTCTTCGATGGAAAAGGAAAGCTGAAAGTCTCAGATGTGAAAACATTGTTGGAGGTTTTGGAAGGGTCGTATATGAGCATGGAAGATGAAAACTTACTAGACGACACACGATTGTTCACAACAAAAAACCTCAAGAGCCTTGTATCTAAATCAGATTACACATTTACTAATAAGGAATATAATTTGAGCAATAGCTTGAGTTTTCCATTGGCATGGAGAGTGAAATGGTATGATGTTAGAAAACATATCTGTGCTCAAGAACTTGAATGCAACAACACAAATCCAATGTTGCTCAAGTTGGCAAAACTTAACTTCAATATAGTTCAAGCCACGCACCAAAAGGATCTCAAACACGTATTAAGGTACTTAAAATTAACATGTCAAATGAGAATCACTTTCTTCTCGTTGTTTATTTGAAAATAATTTCTTGTGAATTTAACAGATGGTGGAGGAATGTTTCCATAGTTGAAGATTTGAACTTTACAAGGGATCGGATAGTAGAAAGCTTCTTTTACGCTGTAGGAGTTGCCTCTGAGCCTCAACAGGGAAGCATGAGAAAATGGCTCACCAAAGTGATTGAGTCGGTGCTAATAGTAGATGATGTTTATGATATTTATGGTTCATTAGCCCAAGTGCAGCAATTCACTCGTGCCATAGAGACGTAAGTTCTCCTAAACTCAACATTTGATACAAGTTAAAATTAATTAACCGTCCTGTTATTTAAATACTAGTACTACGTACATACGTAATAATCATGCATAAAAACGAGATTTTTCACATTTAATTAGGTGGGATCCAAATGCAGTAGAAGGGCTGCCAGAATGTATGCAGATCTGTTTCAGGTCTTTGAGTAAAATTTGTATGGTTGGACTCGTGGTTGAATGTGCGTTCATATTTTGTAACCTTCGCCGGATTCCGAGATGTAGTCCCCGCATGCGATTTTTGAGCTACATTTCAGATTTTTATGGAAAATTAGTATTTTCTCATGAAATTAATTCCAAAAATTTTTATTCACTGGACGAATTATGTGTGACTAGATTCAAGGTGTTCAGAGGCCGATTTGCGAGTCAAAGTTATAGTAAAGTAAAGAATTGCACATTTTGAGGTAAGTAACATTTATAAATCTTGTCCTGAGGGTATGAACTAGGTGACGGGCGTGTGGGCGTGCACCGAGGGGATTGTGACTTGGTCCGTCCCGTGAAACTGTAAAGTTGAATAATTTATTGTTAGCTATATTCTCTCTATGTGTTGAAGAAATTTGACTGTAAATCATGTTAGAAATCATACTTAGGCTATGTGATAGTACTGTTGGGACCCACCGAGGTCGCGTACTTGTTGAATTATTTGCTAATTGATGTATTGTACTCAGTCATAATTTTTCTTGCATATCATACCTCAGACTTTCTTGAAAATTGTTGAGACACTATGTTATCTTTGTTTGGGCTTATCTTTGTGATTCCCAAGAGCCCGAGAGACTAAAGAGGTTGAGGACTGAGTAAGGCCAAGGTCCTGTCAGTGAGGTAAGGATACTATGGCACGTGAGTTGTCCGTGGAGATTATGATGCTTGGGCTGTAGGAGCCCCTACGGAGTCTGTACACCCCCAGTAAGCACGAGTACCCCCTGAGAAGCTTTACTAACTTTTCATTTGTTGTTGTACTTAGTTGCTATCTGTCATTGTTGTGAAATTCTATGAAAGATTTTATATCCGGATTACATGAACTTGAACTGTATAAAATTGATTTGACTTAAACTGTTGGATTTGAAAACAGGTCTATTCTTTCCTGGAATTACTGAAAGTGAACTATAACTGTGTAGCTCGTCACTATCTTCAGTTCTTTATGTATTATTGTTACTTACTAAGTTGGTTGTACTCATACTACACCATGCACTTCGTGTGTAGATTCAGGTGTTCCCGGCCATTGCTGGTATTGATTTATTTCGCACAGTTGATTTTCTGGAGATTCAGAGGTAGCTGTCGTGTTTCGCATACCTTACCTCTCCTTCAATATCTCCTTATTTACTGCATTTGGTCTAAGACTATTATGGACCGTATTTTCCATACTTGTACTCATATTAGATACTCTGTTCTCAGTGACACCGGGTTTTGAGAATGTTTATATATGTATTTGTGAGTTTTTGTTCCGCTAAAATTTAGATATTATGTTTTCAAACTTAAAAGATATGGTGGTTTATTGAGATTGTCGACTTACCTAGTATTGAGATAGGCGCCATCACAACGGGTGAGATTTTGGGTCATGACAAAAAAGTTCAGAGAGACCCTGTCAAAAGGAGCTATGATATGGTATCACAACTTACCTCCTAGTTATATTGACTCAATTGCTATGCTTGTAGATTCTTTCGTGAAAACATACGCCGGGGCTATCAAGGTCGAGACCACAAAGTTAGACCTTTTCAAAGTAAAATAGAAGGATAATGAGATGGAATTGCCACCGGTAGTGTCCCGGTTTCAAATGGAACTAATGGACCTGCCACCGGTGGCTGATGATTGGACCGTTTAGGCTTTCACCCAAGGACTCAACATTCAGAGCTCGTTGTCTTCATCGTAGTTGAAGCAAAACATGGTAGAATATCCGGTTGTTACTTGGGCCGATGTACATAACTGGTATCAATCGAAAATCAGGGCCGAAGATAATCATCTTGGGGCTCTTTCCGGGTCCCTGTATCCCATCAGAACCATCGACAGAGTCAAGAGAGACATCGATCTTGAACCGAGATCAAACAAGGATCGGTATCAGCCGTACAATAGAGACAGAAATAGTGGGTCCGGGCGGAACTCTATGAGAAATGAAAGGAGAAGTGATCGAGGTCAGAGCAACCGGGGACTCAGGAGAAAAAACAGATTCTACAGGCCCGTCGGGCCTAAAGAAGTACCGAGATTATCGGAGAACAACTTCAACGTCAATGTCGCCAATATTGTATCTGCCATCGGACATATCAAAGATACCAAATAGCCTAGACCTTTATAGCCCGATCCATCCCAAAGGGATCCTAACCTAATGTGAAAATATCATGGCACTCATGGCCATAGAACGAAACACTGCCGACAATTAAGAGAAGAGGTGGCCAGGTTGTTCAACAACAGGCATCTCCGAGAGTTCCTGAGTGATCGGGCCAAGAACCACTTCAGGAACAAGGATTCTAATAAGCAGACTGAGCAAGAAGAGCCCCAACACGTCATTAACATGATCATCAGTGGAGTCGATGACGGAAGGAACCTTATCTTTCAATGATGAAGACACTGAGAGGATCGTGCAGACCCACAACGACGCACTGGTAATATAGGTACTCCTAAATAAATCTTGAATTAAGCGTGTGTTAATTGATCCACATAGCTCAGCCAACATTATTAGATCAAGGGTCGTGGAACAACTTGTCTTACAAGATCAGATCATACCTGCGGTCCGAGTCTTGAACGGGTTCAACATGGTATGCGAGACCACTAAAAGGGAAATACCATTACCGGTGAACATTGCCGAAACTGTGCAGGAAGCCAAGTTCTATGTAATAGAAGAGGATATGAGATATAACTTTTTGTTCGGGAGGCCATGGATTCACAACATGAGAGCAGTACCCTCAACACTGCACCAGATGATGAAATTCCCAACACCCGGAGGAGTCCAAACAGTTTATGGGGAACAACCGGCTGCCAAGGAGATGTTCGCGGTCGATGAGGTGATCCCGGCATCCACACTCTTGATATAGGAGGATCCAAATCGAATGGTCAAAGACGGGGCCAAATAGCAATCACTAATACTAGCATCGATGGAATCGGAGGAACGAAGAGTAGACGAGGACGACGACTACAGAATCCAAAGATCATTCATAGCCCCCAATGATTCCGATGCTACAAAATCAACAATCGAGGAACTGGAACAAGTCATACTAACCGAACATTTCCCCGATCAAAAGTTATACCTAGGCACGGGGTTAAGCCATGAGCTCAGGAAAAAACTCATTCAATTTCTTATAGCTAACGGAGATTATTTCGCTTGGTCCTACCTTGATATGTCTGGGATCCTGCCGGAGATAACCAATCACAAGCTAAGCCTCGACCCGGAGTTCCACCCGGTCAAGCAGAAGAGGAGGCCCCACTCCGAGGTTAAACATGCTTTCATCAAGGACGAGGTATCTAAAATCCTTAAAATAGGGTCCATTCAAGAGGTTAAATACCCGGATTGGTTAGCAAACATAGTGGCAATCCCTAAAAAGGAATAAATTGAGAATGTGTGTAGACAATAAGGATGTGAATAAGGCATGTCCTAAGGACTCTTTCCTTTTGNCAAGGACTCTTTCCTTTTGCCCAACATCGATTGCATGATCGATGCCACGGCCGGCCATGAGATCCTCTATTTTCTCAATGCCTACTCTGGGTACAACCAAATACGGATAAACAAGGGTGATCAGGAAAAAACTTCCTTCATCACTAAATACGTCACATACTGCCATGACGTGATGCCATTCGGATTAAAAAAATGCCGGTGCCACTTATCAACGCCTAGTAAACCGAATGTTCGAAGAACAAATTGGAAAATCAATAGAAGTTTACATTGACAATATGTTTGTTTAGTCCCTACGAGCAGAGGACCATTTAAAACATTTACAAGAAACCTTCAGCATAGTGAAAAAATACTATATGAAGCTGAACTCAGAGAAATATGCGTTTGGAGTTGGATCAGGTAAATTCCTCGGATTCATGGTATCCAACCGGGGAATCAATATCAACCCCGAAAAGATCAAAGCCATCGAAGATATCACGGTTTTGGACAATGTGAAGGTCGTGCAAAGATTAACCGGACACACAGCCGCCCTTGGGTGATTCATCTCAAGGTCCTCCGATAAGAGCCACCGATTCTTCTCACTATTGAAGAAGAAGAATAACTTCTCATGAACCCCGGAGTGCCAACGGGCCTTGGAGGAACTCAAACGGTATCTATCTAGCCCACCGCTGCTTCACACACCGAAGAGAGACGAATAATTATACCTGTACTTGGCAGTATCGGAGATTGCGGTAAGTGGAGTCCTGGTCCGGGAAGAGAAAGGTATGCAATTTCCAATTTACTATGTTAGCAGGACTCTAGGTGAGGTCGAAACTAGGTACCCTCACCTTGGAAAATTAGCGCTCGCTTTGCTAAGTGCCTCTAGGAAGTTGAAACCATTTTTTCAATGTCATCCTATATGTGTTGTGACTACTTACCCATTGCGAAATATAATGCATAAACCCGAGCTCTCGGGATGATTGGCCAAATGGGTCGTGGAGATCAGTGGGTACGATATTGAATATCGACCCCGGACCGCCATTAAATCTCAAATATTGGCGGACTTCGTGGCCGACTTTATGCCGACCTTAAAACCCGAGGTCAAAAAAGAGTTATTGGTGAACTTGGGGACGTCTTCGGGGAGCTGGACCCTCTTTACGGATGGTGCCTCGAATGCAAAAGTGTCCGAACTTGGCATCATATTGAAGCCACCAACATGCAATGTAGTTAGACAATCTATTAGAATTATGAAATTGACTAACAACAAGGGCGAATATGAGGCCATGATTGCAGGTCTCAAACTAGCCAAATGCTTGGGGGCGGAGGTGATCGAAGCTAAGTGTGACTCCCTCCTCATGGTGAACCAAGTTAATGGGACATTCGAGGTCAGAGAAGAAAAAATGCAAAGGTACCTGGATAAGTTACATGTAACATTACATCAGTTCAATTAGTGGACTTTGCAACATGTACCTCAGGATCAAAGCAGTGAGGATGATGCCCTTGCTAACTTAGGATCATCGGTCGAGGATGGCAAGTTCAACTCAGGGGCAGCCGTACAACTCATGAGATCGGTAGTGAAAGAAGGACAATCTGAGATTAACTCAATGAGCCTTACTTGGGATTAGAGAAAAAAATATATACAATATTTGAAGGTCAAAAAACTGCCTTCAGTTCCAAAAGAATTGAGGGCCTTGCGTACGAAGGCAGCCCAGTTTAGTTCGTCCGAAGATGGAACCTTGTTCAGAAGAACATTCGATGGCCCACTCACAATATGTCTAGGACCAAGTGATACCGAGTACGTTCTGAGAGAAATATAGGAAGACACCTGTGGAAATCATTCGGGCACCGAATCATTGGTTCGAAAAGTAATCAGAGCCGACTATTACTAGATCGATATGGAAAAGGATGCGAAGGAGTTCGTACAAAAATGTGATGAATGTCAAACACATGCTCTGATGATTCACCAACCTGAGGAGTTGCTGCATTCGGTTTTGTCACCATGACCGTTCATGAAGTGGGGAATGGACATCGTCGACCACTTCAATGGGCACCCGGTAAGGTTCAGTTTATATTATTTATGACTGACTATATTTCTAAGTGGGTAGCCCAGGCATATGAGAAGGTCAGAGAAAAAGAAGTCATCAATTTCATTTGGGATCACATTATATTTCGTTTCAGAATGCCAGCCGAGATACAACGGGAAATAGTTTATCGGTAGCAAAGTGAGAAAGTTTCTCGAAGACCATAAGATTAAAAGGATCCTATTTACACCCTACCACCCTAGTAGGAACAGACAAGTTGAATCAACTAACAAAACCATACTGCAAAACCTCAAAAAGATGTTAACTGATGCAAAAGGGAAATGGATGAAAATCCTGCCCGAAGTCCTATGGGCATACTGTACGATCTCGAAGTCCAGTACCTCCACCCCGTTCTTGCTAGTTTATGGTGCCGAAGCTTTAATACCGGTTGAAGTAGGAGAACCAAGTCTATGGTTCTGGTATGCAACCAATGAATCGAACGACGAGGA